AAAAAAAAATAATAAAAGTCAGTCTCACAGGCTAATAAGATATGTAAGCATGAAGCTCACTGATGGGCCCATGGTGGGAGATGATTCCTGGTGGAAGTGGAGAGCAGACTTCACCTGTCTTCTGCCTGCTCCCTTCCCTAAAGTTGTCCTCTGACAGTCTCTCATACACGCACACTCAACTTACTCACTCAAACATAATTCCAAAAACAACCAAAACACATAAAGAAAATGGAATTGGTCTTTAAAAATATATATACACCAGTACTCAGGGGGGCAGGAGTTCAAGGCCAGCCTGGTCTACAAAACAAGAGTCCAGGACAGCCAAGGCTACACAAGAAACATGGTTCTGAAAAAAAACAAAAAAAAACAAAAACAAACAAAAAAACAAACAACAACAGAAAGAGTTCAGTGGGCTGGCTGTTCTATGTGTGTTTGGAAGGTAAGAATGTTGAGAGCAGTGCAGATGATGGATGGGCTTGTGAAGTTTCAGAGAGAAGTAACACTCTGTGAGGGCTGTTCCTATGCTAGTCTGTATTAAGAATCTGCAGTTCTGGTCAGCTGCGGGTGAACAATTGGGTGACTTAACAAGACACCAGACCAATAAGTGAATCCTTCAGCTTTGTTAGGACACTCAATACCTGTCATCCCACGCTAAAGAATCAACTTTATCAAAAGACTATATGCCACCGGGCATGGTGCCACTATATCACTGAGAGAAGTCGAGGCAGGAATTCAAGTTAGGAACCTAACTTAGTCCCAACACTCAGGAAGGTAGAGGCAGGCAAATCTCTGCCAGTTCGAGGTCAGCCTGATCTACAAAGCAAGTTCCAGGACAGCCAAGGCTACACAGAGAAACCCTGTCTCAAAAAACCAAAAAGACCCTATGCCAGGCATGGTGGGACACACCCAGGAGGCAGAGGAAAGTGGATCTCTACTGTGAGGCTAGCCTGGCTTATAGAGTAAGTCTCAGGACAGCCAGAGATACAATGAAAAACTCTGTACATGCAGAAAAAAAACATCCATCTCTCTCTCTCTCTCTCTCTCTCTCTCTATATATATATATATATAAAATACCTAAATAAATAAAAATTTTAAAGTTTTAAAGCTGGGTAGTGGTGGCGTACACCTTTAATCCCAGTACTTGGGAGGCAGAGTTCAAAGCCGGTCTGGTCTACAGAGCTGGTTCTAGGATAAACAAGGGCACACAGAGAAATGTTGTCTCACAGAGAAAAAAAAAAAAAAAGTCTGGGATGTGTTTTATAATGAAATAGTGCTATTAATAGGTGATCATGGGGATAAACACAAAAGGAAAAGCTGTAGTTGAATTATAATATGTGTGCTGGCTAGTTTCACAATACCTTGACTCAACCTAGAGTCATTAAAGGGGGAGTCTCAATTTAGAAAATGCTACTGTGAGACTGGATTGTAGGCAAGCCTGTAGCAAGGTATTTTCTTAAGCACTCCTCTGTGGCCTCTTCATCAGCTCCTGCCTCTAAGATCCTTCCCTGTTTGAGTTCCTTTGATGATGAATAATGATGTGGAAGTATGAGCCAAATAAACCCTTTCCTCGGCCAAGGGGTGAGGGCGTGTGATGGTGGTGTTTAATCCCAGCACTCCAGAAGCAGAATTCAAGGGCAGCTTAGTCTACAGACTGAGTTCCAGGACAGCCAGGGCTACACAGAAAAAGCTTCCTCCACAAGTTGCTTTCAGTCATGGTACTTCACCACAGGAATATTCACCCTAACTAGAACAACATGTTTGTGCTTCATGTTGACAAGGGGTCAGTTATTTTGGGTCTTTTTTCCCCCTTGCCTGTCAACTTGACTAGAGTTATCTAGGAAGGGGGGTTCACAATTGAAAATATACCTCCACAACAGGCCTATAGTCAAGCCTGTGTGGCATTAGTTCATGCCTTTAGGTTCCTAACTTGAGTTCCTGCCTCAACATCTCTCAGTTATATAGTGTAAAATGTAGTGATGAGTTGTAAAATGGAATACTCCCTGACAAGTTGTTTTTGGTTATGGTCTTTATCAAAGCAATAGAATTCTTACTAGGACAACCATCCAGTGGATAAAGGGTGCAGATGGAACCCTGGAGTAACTGCTGTGAGCTGGAGAGATGGCTCAAAGGTTAAGAGCACTGGCTGTTCCTCCCAAGTTCCTGAGTTCAATTCCTGCAACTACATGGTGGCTCACAACTATCTATAATAAGATCTGGGGCCTTCTCCTGTTGTGCAGGCACACATGCAGGCAGAATACTGTATAAATAATAAATAAATATTAAAAAAAACCCAACTGCTATAAACTGTCCTTTGACCTACACATGTGCAACCATACAAATATACAAAATACATAAATGGTAAAAACAAACCAAACAACCCATAAAACTTAAAAGAAAAAAAAAAAATCCACAAAACTGAAAATTTTGATGAAGCCTGCATAGCATGTACAAAGTCCTGAAAAGGAGGGGAGTGAGCAAAACGAAATAAAAACCCACAGTAAGTAACAAATGGCATTTATTTGTTTATGTTTCGATTTATGACTCAGGAAAATGGCTTTTTAACTTTACTTTGAAATTTAAGTGTTCCTTTAAGATGCTTACAGCTATTTTTTTTCCCTTAGCCTATTAGCTACTGGGGTTTTGTGTGGTTGGTTTTGTTTTGGCTAACAGAGAATCTCACTATGTAGCTGGATATCCTAAAACTTGCTATGTAGACTAAGCTGGCTTGACATCCACAGAAATATGACTGCCTAGCTGACCATGGTGGCACATGCCTTGAATGCCTTGAATCCTAAAATGTGGATCTCTGTGAGGCTAGCCTGGTCAACAAAGCAAGTTCCAGGACAGCCAGGGCTACATACAAATAAACCCTGTCTCAAAAAAAGAAAAAAAAAAAAAGAAATTCACGTGCTTCTGCCTCCTAAATGTTCTGGGATTAAAGGAATGCACCAAGAGCAGGCAGACACAGACACAGACACAGAGACAGACACAGACACAGACACAGACACACACAGACAAGAGCACTTGTGGTCAAGAGTGGCCTGAAACTCACTAAAGGATGACTTGAACTTCTGATCCTCCTACCTCTACCACACCTCATTTCAGAAATGCAGCACCATACCCGGTTTATGAGGTGTTAGAAATTAAATCTAAGGCTTTGTAGGTGCTGTGTAAATACTTCACTGCTAAAACATGTCCTTTAAGGTCCCTGACATTAAGTTCTTATAGAGTCAGTATTTCTACATTAAATACCAACAACTGAAAACCATAATTGAACCAGCAATATGACTCAATGGGTAAAAGCACTTGCCACACAAGTCTAACAACCTGAGTTCAATCCCCAGAAACCATTGTGGAAAGAACCAACCCCAAAAGTTATTCTCTAACTTCCACACAAATACACACCTGCACTCATATACATTATACACACAAACATCCTAAATTAAATTCACAAGACCTACCCTACATGATGAAAGAAAAGAAGCAACTTCTACAACTTGTCTCTGAATTCCAAATGTGCAATCAGTCTGTCTGCCTTCTCTCTCTCTTCCCTCTTTCTCTCTCACAAACATATACCCAAGAGGCGGAAATAAATGTAATTTTCAAAAATATAAAATATTTGTGGGGAGTTAATGAGACAAGGTCTATCTATGTAGTCTTAGCTGTCCTGAAACTCACTCTGTTGACTAAGCTGGCCTCAAACCAGAAAAAAAGAAAGGAAAAGTCATATAAAACATTTTATAAACTACAGCAGTTAGATATATTTAAAATATTTTAGTTTTGGGTTTTTGTTGGTGGGTTGTTTTGTTTTGGTGTTTGTTTTTTTTTTTTTTTTGCTGCTGTTATAAGTTGAGTTTTATTGTTCTTGTTTTGTTATTTGGCTTTTGTTTTTGTTTTTTGAGATATGTGTCACCATGTCTGGCCTAAAATACGTCTTCTTAAAACTGAAAATATGCTAAACAAAATATATTTCATTTGAAGCTCAGACAGATTAAATCCCCAGCATCACAAAGGCAGGAAGGAATGAGAGAGGGAGGGAAAGCTAGTTGGTTCATTTTCTCTAATGAATTAGTACTCTATAACACATAATTAAATCAATTTTAATTAGTCATGATGATGCATGCTGTTAGTCCCAGCACTTGGGAAGCAGAGGCAAGCAGATCTCTGAGTTGGAGACCAGCCTAGTCTACAGAGTGAGTTCCAGGACATCCGGGGCTACACAAAGAAACCCTGCCTGGAAAAACTAAAAACCCAAAGCAGAACAAAACAAAACAAAAAACGATAAACTTAAGGCATTTGAAAACTTAAAGCTGTGCAGTGAAAGAGAAGGAATGAGAAACATAAGTATGAAAATAGGACAAAACTAAAAAGACAAAACTCCCTAGTAAGTTAGAAAATTTTAAGACACAAATAACAAAATAGAAAAGAGAGCTATGTCCAAACTGCTGGTTAAGTATATTTTCTTGTTTGTTGTTGATGTGTTAATTTTCAAAACTATCTTAAAATATAAAGGCTACACCATTTACAATCATTTTACTGTCCTGTGCACTACACTAAATCACAATTGAGACAACCCCTACACACAAACAACACATTTACAGTCCAAGTGTTCAGTTGCCTGACCTGGTTGTGAAACCGCAGTGGCTGTAAACTGAGTAGCCCATGGTGGATTCTTCTGTCCT